CCTTTCCCCCCGTTCCTCCCCCTCTGCCACCCACCTGGGCCCCCATGTCCCGCTCCCGTGCCAGTCTGGACAGGGTCCCTTTCAGGCTCCAGGACAGTATCTCCAGCTCCGAGAGGGTCAGCTCCCCAGGCTCAGGCCCAGCCAGCGCCAGCACTACGCCCGCCCAGGGCTGGGTCACCTGGGGTGGCAAGGAAGACAGTTCAGCAGGAGCTGGTGGGTGGCAGGGGCGTCCCGGGGCAGGGGGTGGCAGCCTGGCCCTGCCTCTTGGCCCTGTACCTCCTGGATGGTGGTGGCCAGCGTGCTCTGGGCCTCGAGGCTGAGCCCCTGGATGTGTCGGATGAAGAGCTCCCGGTGTTCACACTGTAGGGAGGCAGGAGGGGGCTGGGGGCTGGAGTCTCCCACCCCAGGGCGCCCACCTGGCTGGCTGCACTGCCCTCCCGTCCACCACCGCTCACCTGCACTGCTGCCCCCAGCATCAGCCGGAGGACACGCCCCAGCTCCTCCAGCGCTTCCTCTGCAGACACAAGCCAGGGGGTCCACGGTGGGGCCTGGACCCAAACCCAACTCTGCCGTAAGCCCGTGCCCACCCTACAGAGCGGGGGTGAACGGCCCCTGTGCCTTCCCAAAACTAACTCCACGGGAGTGGGGAGCCTCCTTTATCTCCAGAGAAGCAGCTGATGGGGGGGCTGGGGAAGGAGGCGCAAGGACTGCCGGCAGGGGCTACCTGAGAGGGGGTCAACCCCTAGCGTCTGGAGGTCTGGAGGTGGTGCCAGGATCAACAGCTGAAGTTCCTCCTGGGGGTGGGGGAGAGGGAGTGGGCGGCATGAGGGGGCCTCCTGGGGCAGGACCCCATCTTTACCTCCCCCTTGGCTGGCCCTTCCAAATAAAACCAAGCCCCCACCCTACCCCACCCCTGCATCGCGGCAATGCCGACGCCCCCTGGGCAGGGTAGAGCTGCCCCCCGTGAGTTGCTGAGGCTGTAACTGTTCATGGGAGCAGCCTGCGGTTTCAAACTGTGGACCTTGAGGATCCCAGCCCAAGGAGTAGGCACTGCATCACTAGGGCTCCCTTGGCCCACCCTTACCTGGTAGAAATCCCTCAGCCGACCCCACAGCTGGCTCAGGTTCTGGACGCGCCTGCCTGCGGCATCCTCACGGCCCCCGACCGGCAGAGGCCCCCCTTTGGAACTAGGGGCACTGCGGATGGGTGTAAGGAGAGAGGGGGGGTGTCAAGGGCCCGCCCCCTTGTGCAAGCACCACCCACCACCCATTAGGCCCCTCCCCCAGCCTGCCCAGGCCCCTCCCAGTCCTCTTACATGATGGCCAGGACCCTGAGGAGCAAGGTGCCGTCGCTGAGTCGAAAGATCCTCTTCTCAGGGCTAAGGAGCCCTTCCCCCTCTTCCTCCTGCCCCCCCTCCTCGTCATCTTCACCCTGGGGCGCCTCCAACTCCCCCACCAGCCCTGCCAGCCCCAGCGCCTGTGGGGAACAGAGAGAGCTCAACTGGACCAGGTAGAAGACCCTGCACATACCCCTACCCCCACCCTCGGACCTACCCCCACTAGACAAGCCCACCCCACCCTCTTCACCAATGCCTGTCTCCCTGAGCGAGCCCCAATCTCCTCACCACCGCCACCCTAGACCTGTCCACCCCCACATCAGAGCCTCCCCTCCCCTCCAGCCCCAGCACTGCCCCTCCCTTAGGCCGCGCACCCTGGAAGCAGAGCCACCAGTGCCTCCAGCGGCTCACTTCCCCCCCAGCCCCACTCCCGCTGGCCCCCCTCACCCAGGTGGCCAGGCTTCCACTCAGGAAGTCTCTGAGTCGGGGCCCCTCGCCCCCCTCCATGCTGGGCTCGGGGTGTCGTCCCCGCAGTGGCAGCTACACCTGCCCGGAGAGGAAGAGGAAGTCCCCAGTGAGGGGGGTGATTCCAGGCTCACCACAGACACCCAACAAAGCTTCCTCCTTCCGGGACGGGCGGGCTCTGCACCCCCAGAGCCCTGTCGGGGCCCCCACATCCTTGCCCCAGCCAGGCAAGGCCTACTCTGCTCCCCCTAGGGCCTCCCTGCTGCCCCACGCTGCGTGGCACCTCCACAGGCCACAGGAGGGGAGCCAGCGCCACGGTGAGCGGTGAGCCAGGGTGAGTCTTCGGTCTCCTCTGGAGGGGCCTCCTTGTCCCTGCTGGGACACCCAGGAGAGAGGTCCGTCCTGTGCCCTCTGAATGGACTCAGGGCTTGCAAGGGGTGGGGGCGGGTAAAGGGGAGAGACGGGGGACCCACACCTTCACCTTCATATAACACCAGGCCCTCCCCTTTCCCGGGGTGCCCTGGGACAGAGTGGGATCCTCGCTGGTCTGCTAGCCCCAAAAGGCAGTGGCTCAAACCTACCCGCTGCTGCGCAGGAGAAAAAGGCTTTTGGCTTCCATGGAGAATCAGCCTGGGAGCTGCCCCCTCAGACCCATCAGTCTGCTCCGCCCTGGAGGGTGGCTCTGAGCGGGAATGGGCACCATCCCAGTGGGTTTGGGCTTTGCTCTTGGTTCCATTGGCTTATGGAAACCTATGTCCGGAACCCAACTCCTGACAGGTGGGGAGGGACCAGCCGCTGAAGAAGGACTTCCTGCTTGGCACAGTGGAGGGGCAGCGGAAGAGAGGCAGGCCCTTGACCGGATGAACTGACACAGCGACCTGGGCTCATGAGGCCCGCACGGGGCCGGGTGATTTTGGGTTTGGTGGTGCACACGGTTGCTATGGGTCAGAACCAGAACCGACTCCATAGAGCCTAACAGCCACCACCCACCGGCGCCACCACCTGTGAGCCCAGATTCAGATGGGGGTCGGGGGAGCTCCCCCACAAGGCCCTCTCTGAACTCCAGCTAGAAGTGAGTCCTCCCACTCCCTCCCCCTCCCACCACCACCAGGCTGGATACACACTGGGCAGGGCCGGGATTCCCCTCTGGAAGACAAGAAGATTGGACTCTTGGGAGGCAAGACAACAGAGACTAGCCACAGGTCAGTGTCTGGGAGGTCAGGACACCACTGTCCCCCGACCGCTCCCTCCAGGGCCTCGGAGAGAGGGGCTCATGGTCTCAGATGCGGTCACCGCGGAGCGCGGAGACCGCTGCCAGACTCCTGTTCCTTCATACCAAGTGCCATGCGGGTATCATGGGCATCACGTCTTGAACAGTGTGACCCTGTCCCCACCATGCTGCACCCCCAGCCCCTCCCAATTCGTGCTTGAATCTTAACCTCTAAACCCTGGAGATACAATCTCTTGGGAGCCAGGCCTTTCCTTATTATCTTAATGGAACTGTATCAGTGTAGGGTGGATCTCAAGCCCAATCGTTTTAAGAGATATAAAAAGGACAGATCTTGACGGGAGTAAACAGCCCCATCGTTCTCCCTTGAAGCAGCGGGTGGTTTCAAACCGCTGACCTTGTGGTTAGCAGCCCAACAAGTGAGCACTCCATCACCAGGGCTCCTCAGAAAGTCCCAGAGGGACCCAGATGTGGGGCGCCCCCAGACCGCCCAGCTATGCTCCCAAATCGGGGGTGGGGGTGGGGTCGAAAGTCAGCTCATTGTGCATGGTGCCAAGCCAAGCGCGTCAGGACCAGCGTGGGCACTGAGAACTCCCAGTGGGGAGATGGTTGTCCTGATGCTTTAAGGCGGCGGTTCTCAACCTGGGGGTCTCGACTCCTCTGGGGGTTGAACGACCCTTTCACGGGGGTCACCTAAGACCACGGGAAAATACATATTTCCGATGGTCTTAGGAACCGAGACACCACTCCTCTATCCGTCTCCAGGCAGCATCCGCCCACATGCAGACATGCCCACCTATGAGCACCTGGCGTGAAGACTGTTACCCATGCCACATCATCTTCAAGACAAAATTTCATTGATTTGTCATTAGAAATAGTTCACAATATATAATGCCATATTGTTTTTGTGATTCATCACGATGCTTTAATGATGTTCCACTTGTAACAATGAAAATACATCCTGCCTATCACATATGTACAAATCCAAACTGGGGATGAAAGAGCTGGGGGCACAGTGACCTGACAGTATGCTTTTTCCCTGAGCAGCGCCTCATTCTAATGGACCAGCTTAGATTGGATGAGGCCCGGGCTTCGTCAGAACAAGAGGACCCTCAGCAAACACTGCTGGCTGGGCTCCTTCGTCCCCGACAGTGACCCACGAGACTCATCAACCACCGGCCATCGTGCTTGGTAAAGTAGGGGGTCTGCAAAACACGAGGGAGGGCCGTCTGTGAGGGGAACCGACACAGAGAGGTCGGCAGCGCTTTGGTCTGCGACACCTGGGGCTGCTGCGCGTCAGGGCAGTGTGTGTTAAGCATTGTACAACTCTTCTTGGTGGAATTGAACTATTGGATTGTATGTTATGTGGATGACATTCCAGTACAACGTTTTTTGGGGAGGGCGGGAGATTTACAGGCTCAGCAAACCCTCTGGGGTGGGGCCCCTCCACTTCATGGGGTAATGATGCAGCAGGTTCAGTTTTGCTTCTGTGACTCTTCCAGGAAACGGGATAACTTCTCAGAGACCGAGCCTGAGCCCTGCCCCATTCCGGCCGTGCCTGGGGGCTTGCTAACCAGTTTCTGATGAGGCAATCTTGATGAATAGCAATTCTTTCAAGGGCTCTTTCAGCTGTGACCCTCTGTGAGCCTCGCTCTGCTTAACCCTCTGGGACTCCTGCCCAGGAAGTGGTCAGGAGGGCTGGCTGAGTCTATGCCAGTCCCGCAGGTCTGCCAAGGTAAACCCAGCCTGCAAACAAGGGAGGCCGCTCCCCCCTGCGGCCCAGACTTGCTCAACGGGCTGCGTCACACCCTCCCCAGAGGCAGGGCCCGTGTCGACTATTGCTCTCATATCTGTCCCTCCAGACAAGCTTGGCTGCACCTTCAGCTGCTTCTCTGACTGGGCTCAGCTGAGTGGGTGGAGGGGAGGCTGCAGGGTACCCCAACTGAGACTGCCACTGAGACCTGAGATCTGGAGGCTCATGAGGGGCCAAGGCATGTTTATTAGAGAGCCTGGTGGTGAAGTAGTTACTTGTAGCACGGCTAACCACGAGGTCAGCTGTTCCAAACCGCCAACTACTCGGTAGGAGGAAGATGAAGGCTTTCTTCCTTTCTGCCTTCGGCCCAAGAGCTTGTTGTCGAAATGGGCACGTTCGGGAAACCCAGGAAGGTGGTGCTGGTCCTGGCCGGACGCTGTTCTGGGCGCAAACCCGTCGTCACGAAGAATGTGGGTGAAGGCACGTGCCCCAGACTGCCCCCGCGGCTGTGCCCTGCTGGCTGGAATCGACTGCTATCCCCACAAAGGGACAGCTGCCATGGGCAAGACGAAAATTGCCAAGAGGTCAAAGATCAAGCCTGAAGGTTCATAACTATAATCACCTCAGGCCCACTAGGTGCCCCGTGGCCATCCCCTTGGACAAAACTGTCTTCAGCAAGGACGTCTTCAGAGAGCCTGCTCTTAAATGCAAGGTCAGTGTGGAGGCCAAGGTCAAAGTGGAGGAGAGGTACAAGACAGCCAAATACAAGTGGTTCTTCCAGAAACTGTGATTGCAGATCCGAACTTGATTCAATCATTAAAAACACCCCAAACCATCCCTTTGTCTGCCTGCTGCTTGTTAGACATGATGTTAGACTGGAAAAGGCACGCTGGTGGTACGATGAGACATGGGGTGGCAGTAGAGGGACTGGGAGATAAATAAAAACGAAACCTAAAAAAAAAAGATGAGGCTTTCTACTCCCCCAAAGGGTTACAGTCTCAGAAAACCCACAAGGGCAGTTCTACGCTGTCCTATAAGAGCGCTATTTGTTGGAATGAACTTGATGGCAGTGAATTTGGTTTTTTGAGTTTGGGGGCCACCCCTAGATCCCTTACCCATCATATCAGAGACCTGGGGGGGAACCAGTTCTCTAGCCTGAAAGCAAAAACAGCCCGTCGAAGGCCCTCGGGGCTCCTGCCCCCCTCTAGTGTTGGGCCTGCAGGGACCCTCCCCAAGTGTCTGAGAAAGGGTAGCCCCCCACCCCCCACCGTTGGGGGCTGGTGGAGGCAGAGCCAGACAAGGGCAGAAATACCACCGTCACATCATTTACAATAAACATTATGATATGGAGGGGTGCTGGGAGAGCAGAAATGTATGCCCAGCTTCTTCGACCCCCACAAACCGCTCAGGCGGGAGCAGGCAGTGGGAGAGCTGAGACAGGGTGGGCTGGGCCTGTGGCCTGCACAGAGCTGGGTGCCCAGGGACTCGGTCATCTGGCAAGGCCTGAGCCCAGCAGCGGAAGAGTGCCGGGCCAGCCCAGCCCCACTCCCTGAGGCTTTCTGCTACCTGGACCCCTCTTTGTGTCCTCTTGTGGACCATCCGACACTCTCCCCGGGGGCATGTGCCCTGCCACCTCAGCAGCGTGGCACTCAAGCACTGCTGGCCTCCAGCCAGCGCCTGGCAAGTTGGTCAAAATAGCTGCTCCTCCCTGCACTGGAAGTCAAGCCCCAGCCACCCACTGTGAACTTCAGAGGCCCCCAGGGAGAGTGGCCACAGCTCCTCACTGCAACCTCACCCAGCCTCCTCCAGCCACCTCTGTGCCTCCGCTGCCTCAGTCTCCAGTCTCAGGACACCCTCTGCTTCCTGCCCAGCACTTGGAACACAATTCCCAGACCTGGAGGTTTAACCAACATAACTGTGTTCTCCCCGTGCCAGAGGGCAGAAGACAGAAGTCCGAGACCAAGGTGTGAGTGGTGCTGGTTCCTGAGGCCGGAGACTCCGTTCCGTGGCCCCCTCGCTCCCGGGGCTGGCTAGCAGCTTTCCGCGTTCCTTGACTCATAA